AGATAATTCTTTTATTTTGTTTATTTTAAAATATATATTAAAAAAAAAATAAAGCTCTGATAATGACTCATCACTTTCTAAAAATGTTTTATATTCAATTCTCTTTTGATTCATTCAACAGGTAACAAAATTTTGTTTTCAATTTATTGTGGAATAATATCTAGCCTTTTATTTCTTCATTAATTTCATCAGCATATATATAAAATCAATCAAATATAATATTAATCAGATAAAAACTATACCTTCTACATGATGCGTTATTCATCCGAGTAATTTATAAAGATTATTTATAAATAATTATTAATTAGAGATAATAATTTTTTTTGCAGATTCGAATAGACCAGAGGCATATACAATAATGTTTGATCCTGATGAAAGTTTGAGATTGCCAAAAGAAGTCGTACCTATTCATTATGACCTCTATTTGCATCCAAAACTTAAAGAAAGTACATTTTCCGGAAAGGTGACCATTCTTATTGATGTCAAACGGAATTACAACAGGAGATTCATAGCTCTCCATCAAAAGAATCTCAATGTAAAATCTGCAAAGTTAACGTACGATTTAGATGAAAATTATGATATTAACATCTCTTACATCAATAAGCCTTCCAAATATGAAATTTTTACGATATTAACTGACAACGAAATTAAATCCGGATTATATCACTTGAGCTTAGAATTTGATGGAAGTCTAAAGGTCAAAATGGATGGATTTTATTCCAGTACATATCAGTATACGAGTGATAATATTAATAAAACCAGGTAATATAAATTTATTATCTTACAAATAAATAATGTACAAATTTTGTGATAAATTTAATTTACATTCGTTTTTAATTCCGTGATGTAGCAAAATAAATTATAATGTATCTTTTTTAATCAACAGGTACATTGGGACTACTCAGTTCGAGCCAACATATGCTAGACAAGCTTTCCCATGTTTCGATGAACCCCATTTGAAGGCAGAATTTTCGATAAAACTGGTTTATCCCATGGATGATGGTTATCATGCTTTGTCTAATATGAATGTAAAGGTGAATAATAATTTTTAGCGGCATTAATTGTCATTTCTTCTGAAAACCTATTAAACAATTGAACAGTTTATTGAGTCATTTTTTTTTTAGAGTACGGAAATACATACACCAGAACGTAATTTAGCAACAGTGACCTTTGCAAAAACCGTGTATATGTCCACGTATCTAGTTGCTTTTGTTATTAGTGACTTTGTTGGCACAAGTAAAATGGCAAAGGGCTTAAATGGGCGAGAATTTCCGGTTAGTGTTTATACCACAAGACTTCAATCAAAGGAGAAAAGAGATTTTGCAGTGAATATTGGCGTAAAAGCTATCGAATATTTCATAAACTTTTTCAAAATAGATTATCAATTACCAAAACTCGGTAAATATACAACAATAGATTACAAAAAAAGATTTATTAATTAAAATACAGATAAATTTGTTATATACGCTTAAAGATCTCGGATTAATTAAATTCTTATGTATACATATATATATATATATAAAACTTTATCTATTATACAGATATGGTTGGGATTCCCGATTTTAAAGCCGGCGCTATGGAAAATTGGGGCATAGTGACTTATAGAGAAACAAGGTTGATTTATGATGATCGTAGTAACTCCATTTATGATAAGCGCGCATTAATTAACATAATCTGTCACGAACTGGCACATATATGGTTTGGAAATCTCGGTAAATATCATATCTTAATTAAATGTGTTAATGAAAATGTAAGATATATCTTTTTTTCAGTTACTATGAACTGGTGGAATGATTTATGGCTCAACGAAGGTTTCGCTACATTTATGGCTTTTAAATGTTCAGACGCGGTTGTACCAAATCAGGAATATGTTAGTCATCTCTCAATAATAATATGATCATACATTGATATAAAAATTTAATATGATAAAAAATATATCAATAATATATAAATATTATTTTCAGATGGAGCAATTTCCTATATGGATAATGCAGAATGTGTTCGTTTCCGACTCAAAATTAAGCTCTCATCCTATCGTTTATAATGTGCAAAATGCAGATGATATTGCAGCAATCTTTGATGACATATCTTATCAAAAAGTATACAAATCTGATATCTTAATAATAGTTTTTATCTTGTTTACTAATTTTTTTATCTCATTTATTTATTCAAATTACTGTCTATTTTAGGGATCATCTATAATCCGCATGATGGAAAATTTGTTTGGATCTGATGTCTTCTTCGGTGCAATTAGTAACTATTTGAATAAGTATGCCTATAAGAATGCAGAGACGGCGGATCTCTTTGAGATTTTGCAAGATGCGGTTAAAAACAAATTAAATGTAACAGCTGTAATGGACACTTGGACGCGACAAGAAGGCTTTCCCGTTATTAACGTCAAAAAGTCTAAAAACAAATTTATATTAACTCAGAAACGATTTTTGGACGATCAAGATGCCAAATTCAATCCTTCAGAATCCAATTACAGGTTACTCTCCAGTTACTTTATTTACTAATTGACAAATGTTCAAATTATGTTATATCTTACAGATATCGATGGACCATACCTATTACTTATATCACTAACAGAAACGAGAAACCCACTCTTGTATGGTTCGACAGGAATGCGAATAAATGTTCGATTTCGTATTATAATCTTTTTATTATACGAATTGTTTCCACGTTATTTTTGTTCTTTGTTATTGTAAAATTTTATATTTTACAGTGGTGATTAAGGTCGACAAACATACCAAATGGATCAAATTAAACGCAGGCCAAGTTGGCTTTTATCAAGTTAATTACAAAAAGGAATGGAAAACTTTCAAGGAATTGCTTTGTTCTTGCCACACGGTAAAATCATGCAATTTTTCCAATTAATTCAAAAGTTATAAACAAAAAATTATTACTATATAAATTAATATGCATTATATTCTCACTTTCTAATTAATAATCTCTTCGAAAATTTATTTAGACCTACTCTTTTTTTTATTACAGAAAATATCCTCATTGGATCGAGCAAATCTTTTGAACGACATGTTTAGTTTAGCTGATGCCGGTGAGATCGAATACAACACTGTAATGGATATAAGTGTATATCTCATCAAGGAAAGTCACGCTTTTCCATGGGAGGTTGCGAAATCGAAATTGATGACGATGTATGCTCTATTGACTTCTTCATCTAAACCATATATTGCGGACAAGTTTCAGGCAATATATTAATCACATTGTTACAAATTACTTTTGCCGTTATAAATATTATTTTTTCATGTACATAATGTATTTTTAGTCTTTTGTATTGATGTTGGTAGACACCGTCTACAAGAATAATGTAGCTTGGATCGATAAGACAATTGAAGATGTTCCGTTAACATATGTGAACAGAATACTGCGATCTACGGTAATCGAATTGGCCTGTGCAATGGATTCACCTGAATGCCTAAAAAGAGTCGGAGAGCTTTTTAAGGAATGGCTGATAGAAGAGAAGCCGCAGCATCCTGATATTCGCGAATTGGTTTATTACTATGGTTGGTCTATTTAATCATCCATTCTCAAAATCATCCGATTATTAAAAAGTTCTAATAGAATACAAATCTTTTATTTAGGTATGCGTTATCATTCAGATGAGAACGAGTGGAACATCATGTTTGAAAAATTTAAAGACGAGACCGACCCCAGCGAGAAAAATAAAATAATGATGGGGTTATCAGGCATAAAATCCACTAAAGTTCTAAAGGAGTTAGTATTAAATCCATAAAAATTGACAATTTTTTAAATATATTTTTTAAGCAAAATTAAATAATAATTTCTATTCTTTTTTAGGTATATTACCAGAGCAACTAATGAGACATATGTCCGCACTCAAGATTTCTTGAGATGCTTAACTATGATTTCCATGAATCCCGATGGTACATTATTAGTATGGAACTGGGTACGCAAGAACTGGGAATTTTTAGTGAATAGATACACTCTGAATAATTCATATCTTGGTCGACTTATACCATCCATTACACGTTCCTTCGCTACACAAAGTAGACTAGATGAGATAAAAGCCTTCTTCAAGAAATATCCTATAGCTGGTGCCGGTGTTGCTAATCGAGCAAAAACTCGCGAGATAATCTCAAAAAATATCAAATGGCTCCATAAAAATACTAAAAAATTTGATAAGTGGTTTTTAAAAAACTGGCCACTTAAGTCCTATTAAATGTACCAACATAATATGTCGTATACAAAACAACTAAAAAAAATGAAAGACTTAACATACATTATCGATTTTTAATAATTTATCATATGCCTCAACCTTGAAAGTATTACCAATAGCCTGAAAATAATTAATTGTGATTTTGTTTATTATTACGAACAGTTGTTACGAAAAGGAACTCTTGCAAAATACTATGCTTAATGAAATTATTCAATATATCAAAATTACACTACGATTAAATATTTTGATTTATTCACACAATTACCGTGGCAATGATTGATAGGTATGCTAAATACGAAGGCAGTTTTAATTATATATATCACATTTTATTAACACAAGTGATTATTATCCTCAAATGTGGATTTTTTGTCTCATAAGATATATGAAAAAATTATCATCAAATCATGAATATTGGATCTATTATATGATCAATTGCATTTTTCAAATAGCCATCAATAAGATATTGTAGAGAAGGATGTATTTTTTAAACATATTTAAAGAATTAAATGTCAATCTTAATATTTGAATAAGTTTGTGATAAAAATTAATTGTTTATTGCTTATTAATTTCAAAATTAAAATATTTAGAAAATATTGCGATTTTTAAATTTACTAAACTTAAAATAAATTAAACTTCAGTAATAATAAGTATGACATTACAAATTTAAAATAAATAAAGATAATACAGGTATAAGAACCAACCGCAGAACTTGATGCATAAATTAAATTATTTTTTACTGTAGGTCATAAAAATTCAAGAATGATGTTCTACTTCAAGAATATTATACATTGTTGCTTTACATACATTGTTGCTTCACACAGTTCTACAAATTTGTACAAACATATTTTATAATATTAAGGAATATTATAGGCAATGAAAAAATTAAAAAAAATATTTTAATTATACATAGAATCGTTCACACATATAAATTAATCTTATGCGACAGTATGAATTAATCAAGTGTTCTTAATTGTACTTTTGAAAATACGATATGAATACGCTCTACTTATTAGCTTTGCCTCGTGACAGAGAGGTGGGAGTCGTTAATTATATCAATTTCGACGGATGTTAATGAACGCGTGTGTACGCGACGGTTAATTCAAGTCAATTTTGCTAGCGAATTTGAATGCAAGTCGGCTGTCATTGTGTAATATTCAATTAAGAACGATTTTCGTTAGAGAATCGGCTCTTACATACCGTCACCAACAGCACTTAAACGCGCAGTTTCTCTCGGATGATCGAGCGAGAAGGAGATCGAGAAGTGAAATTGAATGATAGATCTTTAATTAAGATATAGTTACACAAGATTTTTAATTTATGAGTTTCCTCCGCGTTGTTTAAGTACTTTTTATCGTATTTCTTGTACTTCATGTAGTGTTTCTTGTTTTAATTTACTGTGTAACGAAAGAGCTTTTGAAAACCAAATATAAATAAAGTATGTGTGAATTTGTGCAATGAAACAATTACATTTATAATTTTCAAATAATAAATAATAATTAATAACTAATAATAAATGAATAGAATACTAAATATTTTCCTGTGCTTTTCTTTTTAAATAAGAATATGTGGAAATGAAATTGTTAAATTTGGAAGAACCCAAAGGTATTTGTAATAAATCATATTATTGTAATGAATAAGTGAATATTTTTTGAAAAACATTATTAATTGATAAAATTGTATTTTTTCTTGTAACTTGTTTCTTTGTAATTTATTTGTATATAAAAAAACTGTTTTATTATAGTGAGAGTTGTAATACCAATTTTCGAAATAAATGAATAAGAAATTTTACAATCATTTTGAACATTAAAAAAATATATTTATTCTCAGTCACA